TCCTATATTTTAAGTGATACTTTATCATTCATTTTGAGTTTCATATTATGCCACAAAAACTAATAGTCAAAAGACATATTTGCATCTTGTGCAGAAGACTATTTGATTGTATTCAGTTAACAATTTGTAATATATATTATAATATTTTAAGTGATATTTTAAGTGATACTTTATCATTCATTTTGAGTTTCATATTATGCCACAAAAACTAATAGTCAAAAGACATATTTGCATCTTGTGCAGAAGACTATTTGATTGTATTCAGTTAACAATTTGTAATAATTTTCAATTCTTTTATTACTAATTTTATATAACACTTTTTTACAAGTTACCTCATAATTAATTACATAATATATATTTGCAGTGAGTATCTTTGCTGCAGTTAGTATTAAATGATATTTTTATTCAACATAATGTTATGAGAAGTTAGTCTGTATAAAATTAATATTTATTTATATTTTAAAACTTATGTTATTAATAGAATGGCAATACGAAAATAAGAAATATTTATTAAATATACAAATTTAATTTAATGTATTAAGGATATTAAAAAATTTGAGTAATACTAACAAATTTAATTATATTATTTTATAAATAATTATAAATAATTGTTCTTGTTCATCAAAAAGTGTTTATAAAAGATACAAATGCGCAATTTATTTTTACTAGTAAATAATCATGTGTAGTAAAATTTCGATAAAATTCACTGGATAAAAACCCAAATTCAAATCAAAATAAATATAGGATTTTTAATTTAAATAACAATACGTCGAAATAGAAAGGAATGCGTTTTGAAGACAGTGCTTTCATTTGAATATATGCAGATATAATAACCCTGGAATGGTACAACCATTTTTATACTTTTAAACCATAATGTAGTTTTATAACATTCTTATATTTATTAAATATTTGAATGAAATATTTTCTTAATATATAAATAAAATATATAATAAAGATATTTATTATTATTTTCGGTATGTAGGATTCAGAATAAACTAATTTTTAACACAAATTAGAAACTCTGTTAATAGCATATATGTAGTTCCAGGGATTCAAACATATATTAGATGAACTTAGATATAAATTTGAAGGTTAATATGTATAAAAGATCTGAAAAAAATATGTATATATAAATTTGTATACATTGAAGCATTTCTGTTTCTTAAAAAGTACCAATGGTGCCTGAGTTTCTTTTATTTAAATACATATAAAATAGTATATTTCCATAAAGCACGTCACAGAATTTTCGAAGTATGTTAATGTTTGCTTCCCAATGTAACTGGTGCGTAAATTAGTAATATGTAATATGTGATAAGATGTAGTATACTTTCGATATTTTTTTTAATGAATATATCCAACAATGATTAGACACGCACATTTTTATGATCGATAAAATAAATTTATATAGTTTCAACAACTTCTCTATAAAAAGAAAAAGATTACAATTTATGTTTTTGAAACGAAAAATTGATGTCCACATTGTCAAAAAATATATTTACGTAAGTGCAAATGCAAAATGTAGCAATGTTCCATGTTATTTATATAAAAAGAAAAATAAAACTTGTTTGATGAAACATTTACAAGTTGTTAGTTAAATCAAATAATATTATTCAATTAAATGTAAATTTTACACAGTAAAATTTTTTATTGTTTCAGCTAAATAGGATCATCTAAATATTTATTTTATTATTGTCGCATGGAAAAATTTCTTAGGACAAAGTTACGCTATCTTTACTAAATTATATTGAATGGTGGAAATAAATTTTTCTCAAACTTATTTTTTTTTACGAGATTTCAAGTTCATTAATGATTTTTTTAAATGAAAGTGTATTTTTTAAATTTACAAATTCGATGATCTCAATGACTGTGCTATTGAATTCATTTAATCTCAAGATATTTGTGTCTGAAGGTAACTATAATTTGTAAGTATTTATACAACAAAGCAAGTTATACATTTATGTTTGAACATAAACACTATTGAAATCATTTATCCAGTGAACGATTGGTTCTTCAGTTTTATTCGAAAACTAAAGGTATATCGAATGTGTAATTGCCTATGTATTTAAAAAATTATAATTATGTTTAAAGACGAATATCTTGAGAATAAATAGTCTGAATAATATGGTCATTGGAGTTGAACTCTTTTTTTTTACGTTCTGTGAAATTAGCAAAATATGTACGGTTTCATTTAAAAAATTACTGATAACATTAAAATCTCGTAAAAAAAATGACCTTGATAAAAACTTATTCCTATTGTTTAATAAAGCCTTTGAAATAGTGTCCTCTCAAAAATCTTTTCGTACAACAATAAATAAGACAGATATTATATTCCTATTCAAATGGGATATCCCATTAACTAGATCCCATTTGGGACACCCTGTATATTAACATACATACAAATTGTTGCAATGTTTTAAAATTTGGTATTTTTAGCATTGCATTTTTATATATAATACTACAATTTGTGAAAAAGATAATATATATACATTTTAATAATACAATACAATGTATTTATATTTAGAATATTAATAGGTTAATAAAAATTAATGTTTTCTATGTGATCATATACAATACCCGATATCCAATATGCGATAACATTATTGAATATATTTTACGATTGTTTAATATAATTGTTTGTTTCTTTAAATGTCATTTCTTTGAATTATTGATTATTTTTTTCTCTATACTCAATCATTAACTTTTCCGTTTTGAAAATTTAAATTGTAACAAAAATGATAGCGCAAATTTATCAATGCTACCATCCATTTGAAAAGAAATCCGATAACGTATATAATTCCAATTGCACTTAATTTTACATTTTCTTTGTTAAATTATAATTTACATTGCGTTTCTATTAAATTAAATGTTACATAATTTTTGATTTGTTGTCATTTGCGCAATTTAGGCATGCGACAACAAAAAAATAATTGGCATTACTTCATATACATTGATACATAGATATCAAATGTAACCGATAACTTCATGACTTCACGTTAATATTGGTACTAATAGCGCGTGTTGTCTTTAGTTAATATCTATTGTTAGTTTTCAATATTTAAAATTCTTACACCACTGCTTAATGTTCTTACACCACTGCTTTCCATCTGAGTTTTTTTTATGAATGAACATGATCTTTTCTGAATTTTACGCAAATTATAATTTATATTGCACTGAAACTTCAGTCTAATCTGAACTTATCAATTTCTTTGTAAGAGATAAAGCCAATTTTACATAGTGTAGCTGTCTGAAGTGAGTGAGATTTATCGTGTGCTTGCATTGCAGGAAGAAAAAGAAAAGCAGAGTCTCGGCAGTCAGTGAGTAATTGATATGCGGGAAAGAATGTTGAGAGAAAGACGAAGATAAGTATCAAAACTACAAGCCACTATTGATAATTGCATTTGTTTGAGCTTTATGATACTTCGCAGCGAATTTAGCAAAAGAAGCGCGAATTATTCGATTGTTAGGTTTACAATGGATTTCAAATAAATGCTGATGGTAAAAAGTGTCGTTTTTGTGCCAAATACGTTTTATGTCCGGATATATGTACGATATTTATACGTACGTATATTTATACATGTATGTATAGATATAGATTTGAGAAATCTTGTATATTATAGGATCCATGAAAATAATACCACTTGGGGAATTTTGTTCAGAATTTGAACTTGGCTATTGTCTACACGATTCAAGGGCGCTATATGCTGCGCCATCGAGCTCCGCTGTTCTTTATTTTTCCGGGTCCTTTCTCCCACTGGATTCGCCCATAGGAGGCGCTCTCAATGATCAGTACGAAGAAGAGCGTACGAGAAGAACGATGTTGTAACTAACGGCCAAAATGGAAGAACAAAGTGTTCATAGCAGTATCAGTGATATAAATAGTGAAGAGGCAGTTAGAAGTGAGCGTAAGTTTATCAGTATTTTCGTTTTTGGTATTGTCTTCAGCTGCTGGTATACATTGTTAATTGTTGCGTACACCATAGGCACCTGTATGAACTAACCCTACCTTACTCGTTATCAAACTCACGCGACAATGCTTGTGTCTTATATCTGTCATTCATTCTGATCCACAGATAAATTGAAACATCACATCCCGTTACTTTCCTTATACACTTTTGTATTTGTGTCTGAAATCCTATGCGGAAGAAATATCAAGCGATTTCTTACAAAATTGCCCTTGACTTATTCTCCAAAATTACGTCAGAAATGAACAATTTGTACGAAATGTCTATGAGCTTTCCCTACAGTTCGTTATACTTGTTTTGAATTTATCTTTCATATTTATCGTCGTGTCACTTAAGGTTAAAATCATCTGTCATTTGGAATAGCGTTACTTGCTGTGCATTATATCCTTTGAAATATTGTACAACAATTATTGATTTTACCATATTTTTACTGAAATACATGTACACACGCTTCACAATATAGTATCGTTCAAAAATATTTTGATTAAATTTGTATTATTAGTCGGTATATAATTGGTATAATAAATGAAAAATGTAATTTTAAATGTTAAATGTATTTCTTATTATTTATTGGTATAATTATTTAAACAGTATTATAGTGCTAAATTGTTGAAAAATAATTTTGGTTAGTTTTATTATTTTATAAAATAGCATAGCACATTGTTTTCTTAATATTTTTTATTATTAATTGATAAATAATAAATAGATAAAATTTATTTACATTTTATTTTACTATTTAATATCATAATTATTATAACCATTTTTCTAAGAATGAAATTATTAAAAGGTCCTTTTAAGTATGTATTTATAAATAGAGAAAAGTCAATGACCATATTCACACTTTGTACCTTTTAGAATTAGTCATATTTCTTGTCTTGAATAGAATTAGTCATTATTTACAATAACAAAATTATTTATGGCTCTATTTAAATAGAATAGTAAAAGATATTGAGGGTTGGTAAAGGGAAATAAGATTAAACAATAAACAATAGATTTATTGAACCCTTACTCCCTAAGGACATAAAACCATTATACCTATTTATTGCTGATTATCTGCTGATTACCTGTACTTACTGCAGTTATGAATAGGCCACCAAATTTAGCCATTTGTATTTTTGTTTAATATATGGATTTAAATTTCAAAAGAATATGAATTTAAAATATTTTTCATTATTTTAGAATAAATTTATAATTTATAAATTATAATTCGTTTTGCAAATAAATTTATTTAATTTAAATAAATAATTATATTATTTAACAATCATATTCTAAATTAATAATAATGGAATATTTATTTTTTGAATTTTAGCTATGATTATTCCACGTAAGAAAAGGATATGCTTAATTGGTGCAGCTGGTGATGATCCTGCACTTGGTGCTGCTGCTCAGCAATTTAGTGTACCTGTTCTAAAATCTGAAACTGGTTTGGAACATGTAGAAGATACGTCGTATTGTACATACTTCATATTGAAAAAATTTGAGGGACCTGAATATGATGCTCTTCATAAAAGTGCACATAGGTCCGTCAGTTCATTTCATGTACTTCCTGATATATTAGAACATAATTAAAAGACTCTGATTTTGGTGGTTTTAATTTAACATGTAGGATATTGGGACCGACAGCGCTTCTGCAGTTGGCAGAAAAGAAGGACTCATTACCTAGTATTAATAGACCAATGTATACACAAGCCATGGTAGGCACAGTAGTGGTGTTTACTGGATTTAGGAAAAAGGACGAATTGGTTAGTTTCGTTTTATTAATTAATGTAATGTACATTAGAATATAATTTGCATATAATGCATATAATTTGCATATAATTTGCATATAATGCATATAATTTGCATATAATATAATGTACATTAGAATATAATAGAACGTTATGATGTTAATTATTGTATAGACCAAATTGATCAATATGATTCACAATATGGGTGGAAGTATTAGGAAAGAAATGGGTGCAAAAGTGACGCATCTCATTGCTAATTGTTGCGGTGGAGATAAGTACAGGTATGCTGTTACATTTCGGGTCCCTATTATGTCTATGGAATGGGTGACAGCATTATGGAACGCCAAAGACGATATTTCCAATTATGGAAATAATGAAGAACTGGTAATAATTATATTTCTAACTACTTTTTATTTTATTTTTTAATAAAAATGAAGGAAATAAAAATTGTGAATTTTTACATTTAATATATATAATGATATAATTATTGTTATGTAGATTGCAACTTATAAGCTAAAACCATTTTTTGGTGCAAAAGTATGTTTCTTTGGTTTCCCTGATGAAGAAAAGCGTCACATGTGCGAAGTTTTACAACAACAAGGTGGTGAATCTACAGAAATTGATGATCCAAATTGTACACATGTGGTAAGCTTATATAATATAATTTTTTTTTAAATTTTTTTAAAAGGAAAACATGTAAAACAAACACATGTACTACATTCTAACATTCATAGGTAACAGATTTAGGAAGTCATCAGTACAAGAAATCAAACAATACTTTTGATATGCTACCATGTACTAAAAATCCTAATTACATTCCCTATGATTATTTAAAAACAAAACCAGTTTCCTTTACATTTTACAATCCATACACTAATACAATTCCTAGCAAAAAACTGATAAATTCATCATGTATTTCTGAGGCTAATAATATGAATTTAACCCAAAAATTAAGTACTAGACGCTCTTCACATTGTTTTTGTTCTTACGTTCCTCAATATTTTGAATCTAAAGAAAATCAGTGTACTTATTCTATACTAAATGACGTTAGTCAGGATTCAGCAATTTGCATGGATGATAATTTATACGATTATCGAAGTTTAGATGAATCTTGTAATATATCTGAGTTTTCATGTACTGATTCTGGTATTAGTATGTCTAATATAATACGAACAAATGATGTAAGTGCAGTACAGAAAAATAATTTTCCTGTTACATCTACTATGTTGGACATGCATTCTATATCTTTTTCATCTTTATTACCATGCAATGATAAAAAAATTAAGAATAATATATCTAATGCTTTTTCAAATTATAACACGAGTGATAAAAACATTCAACAAGGATTATATAATTTTAAGTCTTCTACATTATGTAAGAAAAGGATTACTGAACATATAAATAAGCAATATCCTGATAGAAAGACTCATTTGTTAAAATTTTATAAGAATATACAGTGTACACGAAATCCTTTTAATCTTAATAAAAAAATTATATCTCCTAAACGGTATATCAAATGGCGAAAAGCTAAGTCTTGTATTACAATCCATAAAATTAGTTCTCTCCATAAATTTAAATTAAGAAAAATACATTCACATCCTAATTTATTAAAACAACATGATTTGGAACTTAATGATTCTCTTTTATATAATCAATCGTCTATGTCAATGGCAAAAAGCAAAAGTTTTTCAAATACATGTAAATTAAGTTCTTCTATTTTGTCAAAATTTAGTCACTTAAATTTTTCTCCAATGCTTAAGCAATATGTAGTTATTAGTCCAGTCAAACAAATTCCAGAAATGCATCAAAAACAGAAATATACTCCTTTACCTAGTCCTCTTCCTATCTCTGCTAAGGTAGCAAAATTATCAACTTCTGAATATGGTTCAAGAAATACTTTTACATCACATGAAAGTTATTTAAATATTTCTTCCAAAAGTTGCATTTTGAAAGATGATCATGTAAAACTGGACAAACAGAAGGACAAACCATTATCTTTGGTATTTTTATTTTTTTAATGGGATATTAGGTTGGGATGGAATTAAAGATTAATTACTTACTCCATTAAATGACAAGTTGTAGACAAGTAGAAATATAGATGAGATTATTGGTGTATTTTAACAATAAATAAAAATTATTATAATTAATAAAATAGAAATTATTAACCGTAAAAAAGTTATTTATAAATGTATTATTATATGTAATCTTAAAGTATATTAATTTAAGCATAGAAATTTATACTTCCATGTTATCTTTGTGGTGTATTAGATTGTGTCTGTATATATGTATACTAATACAAATTACGTAATTAGTATTTCGTTTTATATAAATGTTTAATAATTTAAACAGTATATACTTTTGTTACATTAAATAAAAGGAATTAGTAGGATATTATATATTGCAAAATACATATGTTATTGTTTTGTATTAGTTAAATATGAATAAATAGTGAACGGACTAGAATTATAATAAGCTATTATTATTTTAGGTTGTTGATGAATCGAATGTAAATGCATTACCAGATTTAGCTTCTGTCAGAGCACATATTGTAAAGGCAGAATGGTTTTGGACATCTGTGCAAAATGAAGGTGCAGCCGACGAAAAGGAATATTTATTTGAAGATGTAAGTTTGTTAAGACGTTTTATACATTTTTTTATTCTAAATTATTTATTTTACGTTTAGTATTTGGAATCCGTTTTATCGCCAACTATATCAGTTAGACGTGATAGTCAACAAGCTGCCACTCCAAGTACAGCATCTACAAGACGAAAACGCAAACGCTTAGCAGAAACTTTATCTAGTCTGGTTCAAAATGGTGCAGATTCTCCAGCACTGCATAAAAGACGATCAAGTATCAGTGATGCAGGACATTTAAGTGTTAGTGGAAGTTTTCTTGATTGTACAACAAGTCCAGACAAACCGTTACTCGATGGTTAGTTATTTATCAGATTTATTGATTTTTAACAATTTGTTAAATTTATCATGTTTAAAAATATCCTATAATTTTTACGTAACTATATATTATTTATAATTTACAAACTATTTTAATATTTTCTTAACAGTCCTACTAAATACATCTTCCCTTCATTTGTGGTTCATTTGTTTTGTTGAGTAAAGTATTATATTTTTGTATATATTTTATTTAGCAGAATTACACTAACAAAATGATATAAATTTTTCATGTTTTGTTTTAATTATTGATAATATTTAATATGAATCATATGAAGGAGAAGATAATATAAATTTGTATTATTAATAACTGCCAGATATTCCAGAAGTGGAGGCTGTTAATACAGACAACTCTAGAAAAAATTTATCACCGCGTCACCAAGTTTTCTTAGAATTAGTACAAACAGAATCTAATTACGTTGGTATTCTCAGTACAATTATGACGGTAAAATTTGTTTCATTATATATTGTGCTGAAACAAATAATAAATTAACATGTTTATATAATATAACATTTATGTTTCTAGCTGTTTAAATCTCCGTTGGAAGATCTTATAGATACAACTGGTGAATTATTAAATGGTACAGAAGCTAAAATTATATTTGGTAATTTTCCACCTATTTATGAAGTTCATAAAAAAATGTTGGAAGAATTAAGATATAGTGCTACTCATTGGATGGAGGACATTAGTATAGGTAATATATTTCTGAAGTTCGCACCTGACTTAGTCAAGGCGTATCCACCGTATGTCAACTTCTTCGAAAATACAAAGGAGATGCTCGACCAATGTGATCAAAATAAACCACGATTTCATGCTTTTCTGAAGGTTTGTCAAACGAAACCTGAATGTGGCAGACAAAGTTTAAAGGAGCTATTAATTAAACCAGTACAAAGGTTGCCCAGTATTAGTTTGTTATTAAACGGCAAGTATATTTATTGAAGTTATTATCCCTTCAGTGATCGTTCCTTAGATAGTATTATCTTACAGCTGAAAACAATATAATGTATAAGAAATACCTTCATTTAATTATTATTAATCGGTCGTCGATTATATTCTGTTTCTTACTTGTATGCATGAATTTAAGGTTGTCGATTATAGTCTGGGTTTATATCGAAGAAATTAAATAATCACTATAATATGTAATAAATTGTATATTAATATGTGCATTAATGTGTTACAGATATCCTTAAACATACAAGTAAAAATAATCCAGACCATAGTGCTTTGGAATTATCAATTAGCAGTATTAAAGAAGTCATGACCTATATAAACGAGGATAAAAGAAAAACTGAGGGTCAATTGGTTATGTTTGACATTTTTAATGAAATTGACAATTGTCCACCGCATTTAGTTTCTTCACATCGATCCTTTATTGGCAAATGTGATGTGATGGAACTTAGTGAGGGTTTAAGTGGACGTGGTGATCATTTAGTTTTGTTTTTGTTTACTGATACTCTTGAAATATGTAAAAAAAGGTCAAAGGCTTTTAATTCACTGAAAAGTCCTAACACAGCAAATGGATTGCATACAACTAAGTTAAGTCAAGGAAAACCCTATAAACATATCAGGATGTTATCACTTAGTACGATAAAAAAGGTTGTGGATATACGAGAAACAGATGGTAAGCTAATAAGAAATAATATTCTAAATTAATAATAAACTTTAATCGTGTTTAAATATTCTAATCTTTCTTTATTTCATAAAAAAAAAAAAAA